CTTTGAGCAGGAGGGGTTCTCAGCCTTCTTGGTCATTACACCCTGGGTCATCCTTCCTGCCCGCCCACCAGGCCCTCTCACCTTTTGGAATTCACTCCTATTGCCCTCTGTCTGCGTCCTGACTCTGAAGTCCTCCAACCCCATTGGTAGAGAATCCTTTTTTAAAAACCAGGCACTTAAATTATATAATAATCTCCAGGTTAAGCAGAAACTTCCTTCCTTGGGGAATTTCTTTCCCCAGGCTGAGGATGGTGTTTTGCTCCTGGTGGTTACCAAACAGCTGCTTGGCCAAACACTCCAAGTCACCTCTAATAAAGACAAACAAGGTGCAAAGTGAGAGAAACCAAATGGGAGACTTTTTCCCGGGCTTGGCTGCTGGACTGGAACCCCTGTGTTTGTCAGTTCTGGCAGCAGTAACAAAATACCATAGCCTGGGTGGCTTCAACCACAGACTTTTATTTTGGAGCTTGGGGAGCTGAAAGTTGGAAATCAGAATGTAAGTGTTAATTAGCCATGCGTGGTAGCACGCGCCTGTGGTTCCGGCTACTGGGAAGGCGGAGGTGGAAGGATCGCCGCAGCCCAGCAGGTCGAGGCTGCAGTGGCCGGGAGGGGCACTGCACTCCAGTATGGGCGACAGAGTGAGACTCCAACTTAAAAACAAACAAACAAACAAAGAATGCAAGCGTTTTTGGTTTCTGATGAGGCTTCACTTCTTGGTTCGTCGGTGGCCACCATCTTCTGTGTACTCACATGGCCTGCCCGTTGTGCATGGACAGAGGAAAAGAGAGAGCACAAGCTTGAGCGCTCTGGAGTCTCTTGTGAGAACACCAGTCCTGGCAGATCAGGGCCCCATGCTTATGACCTCATTTAACCTTAATTACTTCCTTAAGGACCCTATATCCAAATGCGGCAACACTGGAAATTAGGACTTCAACATATGGATTTTAAGAAGGCACAAGCATTCAGTCCTTAACAATTTCCAAGAAGAAATCATTTTTTATTTTATCTGATTATGAGTATAATATATATGCATTAAGGAAAATTTGGAATAAAACAAAAATAAAAATCATTCATTATCCCATGAAGAAGATGAAACCAAATGAAAATCTTTTGTTAAGATCTGAGTGATAATGGCATTGTGTGTTCGTGTGTGTGTGTGTGTGTGTGTGTGTGTGTGTGTGTGTGTGTGTGTGTATGTACATTCCACATTTGCCTGCTTGTCCTAAAATGTAGGGGAAGGACTGCAGGGCTTGTGGATTGTATAAAAATTATGCAAGCCCATCAAAGAGAGCTTTTGTTTGTATGCAACTCATGTAAAAGTAAATATTCTGTAACTGCTGTGTATAATGCAAAGTGGAAAACCTGAAATGATGGCTATTGGCCAACACACAGATTATGTTCCGCTGTCATAGAGTGTTTTCTCTGCATTGCTTTTTAAAACATTTTTCATATTACATGCCCCATCTCAGATCACATTAACCCAAATAAAAATGTCATTATCCATTCAGTTCGACAGACAGCAGGCAGCATATAGCAGAAAATTACAGTCACGTCAGGCACTAACAAAGCATTCTAGTCAAAAACACGTGGAAGTCCCCATAATGGGCAGGGAGTCCAGGTCCCCTTCGCACTCTCCAGGCATACGTTTGGGTTCAGTTGAGTGGACTCCTTTTAATACACAAGGCATGCCTCTGAAGAGTCATGTGCAAATCAAATTTCATGTGGCATCTCTTTTGTTACATTAAGAAAACTTCAAGCTTGATATCAAAGAGACTTCCTTTCAGACAGTATTTTTTCTTTACAATGTTATTATTGCTCTGAAATAAATCTAAAAGATATTTTGATATATGCGATTTTATGAACTATGACTCCCTTGTACCTACCACTAAGCTTTTTAAAATATAGCTAGTGAAGTTAGTCATAGAATTGTAGTTTAGACTATTCTGAGTTCTCTAAACATTAAGGTAGCCAAGATTTCTTGGACATCATGACCCAAAGTTCATTTTAAGTGACCCATTTATGTATACTTTTGTACTGATGGATTATTAAATCCATGGTTTGTGAAAATTTAGAAAAGCATGCAGTAGTCATGAAGCATCAGCACAGACTTACTAAGAATAAATCGGGAGAGTCATGCTCATTTCTTCTGAGTGGACTTCAGGATAGGTAGATGACGTAAATTGCATTTCTGTTTCAGCAAATCATTTGATAAAGTCTTCCCCAACTGACTTATCAGTGAGTTGGTGCCTGATTGAGTATTTACTTAGGTCAGGCACAGCTAGCTGAAAAATGAGAACAGTGATGATGAACAATTCTGCAGCTACCTAAAATAGCTGTCTAGAGGAGGGCCACACAACACAGTGTGTGACTTGATCCTGTCGACACAGTGGTGAACTGAATGAAAACATAGAAGACACACTTAGCAAACTTCAGATGGAACAAAGAAGGAATAGTCAATGTTAAAGGTGATGGGAATTTTTTTTTTTTTTTTGAGTTAGAGTCTCACTCTGTCGCCCAGACTGGAGTATAGTGGCCGCTCCCAGCCACCGCAGCCTCTACCTGCTGGGCTCCGGCGATCCTTCCGTCTCAACCTTCCAAGTAGTCGGAATTACAGGCATGTGCTACCACGCCCGGCTGATTTTTTGATTTATTGTAGAGATGAGGTCTCGCTGCCCAGGCGG